CACTATATACCTATGTATTGTTTGGCTGACAACTGGGCCATGAGGGTGAGTTCCTTTCCAGACCCAGTTGTGATCCTCTAATGTGATCCCTTTCTGAGTAGTTGGACATGGTAGCCGGGCACTGTCTAGTTCTTCTGGCCTCAGAGTAGTGGAGACTGATGTTCACATGTTCCAAGCTTCTTAATTTCGTATCACTCTTCTATCTTCCACACATGGAGGGACCAGTGTTGTTGTTGTTATTGAGTGCTGTAGAGTTGTTTCCGAGTGACCATGTATAGGGTTTCTGAGGAGTGGCTGGTCAGCTTGAACTGCTGTCCGGCACATTAGCCCACAGCGCTACACCAGGACTTCAGTAGAGACCAATAGCTGCACCTTAGTCTGCCGCTCATGAGCTTTCAAGATCCCAGATGATACACACCATAATAGCATGCAGAATATTGTCTTTGTGGACTATGTTATGCTAATTGACCATGTGTCCCATGAGAGTATGGTCCTGAGCCCCCACAACTATTGCCTTAAGATGTATGATAATTTCTAGGAAGTTTTCATCATTTTGCCTACTGTATGCTTCACCACATTCATAGTTATATTTCCAGGAAAGGTAAATTGTTGTTAAGTGCCACTGAGTCAGTTCCAACTCATATGTTGTTGTTGTTGTTTGGTGCCATTGAGTCAGTACCGACTCATAACGACCCTATGCACAACAGAACGAGACACATAGACCCTGTAGAAAGTTTCCAAGGAGCAGCTGGTGAGTTCAAACTGACTCTAGGGTCTAGTGCTTTATCTTACAGTGCCTCACCAGGACTCCATATTCATGTACAAATATCCTCTCTCAAAATCATGTATTTGTGATATATATATATATATATCCCACTTTTCCTCCCTTGCCCATCCAGCCTATGTCTCAATCTATGTATCTACACACTAAACACCGCTGTTCCAAGGTTGTATATATATCACTCTTTACCTTATCTTCTTTAGCCCATGCATACCTCCCTGTTTCTTCACCTATCTTCATCATTCTTCTGCTACTCTCCCTCTTCTTGTATATTGCCCTCCCCCTTTTTGTATATTGCCCTTCCCTGAGTTAACCTGTGTCTACCCATAGCCAGTGAATTACTCTTCCTTCCCTCCCACCCTGGTAACCACAAAAAAAATGTTTCTTGTTTCTTTTGGTATGAAAAGTTCTTCTTAAGTTTCTTCAATAATGGCCTCATATAATATTTATCTTTTTGTGATTGACTAATTTCACTCAGCATAATGTCTTCCAGGTTTATCCATGTTATGAAGTGTTTCACAGATTCATCGCTATTCTTCAGTATTGTATAGTATTCCATTGTGTGTAGTTACCAAAGTTTATTTATCCATTTTTCCATTGATGGGCACTTAGACTGTATCTGTCTTTTAGCTATTGTGAGTAGTGCTACATTGAACATTGGTGTGCATATATCTACTTGTGTTCTGGCTTTTATTTCTTGTGGCTATATACCAAGTAGAGGGATTGCTGGGTCATAAGGTATTTCTATTTCCAACTTTCCGAGGAAGCGCCATACCATTTTTTCAGAATGCTTGAACAATGTATAGTCCCACCAGCAACGTAGGAGGGTCCCCGTTACTCCACAGCCTTGCCAGGATATATTTTCCGTTTTTCTGAACTTTGCTATCAATGCTGTTGTGAGATGATGACTCATTGTTTTGATTTCCATCTCTCTAATGGTTAATGACCATGAACAATTCTTTATATGTGTGTTGGCTGTCTGAATGTATTCCTTGGTGAGCTGTCTGTTCATGTCCTGTGTCCATTTTTTAATTGGGTTATTTGTCGTTTTGTTGTATGTTGTTTTTGTTATGTGCCGTGTAATCGGTTCTGACTCACAGTGACCCTGTACAGGGTTTCTGAGGCTGCAAATCTTTATGGGAGTAATTTTCTATATATTTTGGATCTTAGTCCCTGTCTTATTTGTTGTTGCAAAAAAATTTTCCCCCAGTCTGTGGGCTCCCTTTTAACTCTTTTGGTGAAAACTTTTGCATATAAGTGTCTAATTTTAAGAGGTTCCACTCATCTATTTTGTTTTCTACTGCTTGTGTGTTTTTTTGTAATGGTTGGTAGTGTATTTATATCATATTAGTATTAGAGCCCCTATGTTTATCCCTATTTTTTCATTGATCTTTATAATTTTTGGTTTCACATTTAGGTCTTTAATCCATGTTGAGTTTGCTTTTGTATATGGTGTGAGAGATGGGTCTTGTTTTTTTCTTCTGCAAATGGATTTACAGTTTTATCAATACCATTTGTTGAAGACACTATCTCTTCTCCATTTAAATCAAAGATCAGCTGACTATATGTGAATGGATTTACTTCTGGGTTTTAAATTCTGTTCCA